TACCAAAGATATAAGCCATTATGTCATTGCAGATAATCATAGAAGTGGAGAGTAGGAACCATATCAAGCCTTCAAAGATACACTGAACCAGCAGATGAGACTGAGTCACAACAATCAACAATGTTACATGGGTCCAGCCAAACTGTAGAAAAAACAAAAGAAATAATCATTAATGTATAAGCAATGAACAGCGCCCTCATGCACTTGATACTATGAAGTTGTTGCCATAATATGAAAAGCGCCCTCTATTATTTTTTAGCTGTCATGTCAGTTATACGCTATAAAAGAAAAAGAAACTTTGTTCAAAAGACACAACATTATTCATGACAAATAAAGATGGAAACATAAATGATATGGCGAAACACATCTATAACTGTTTTAATTAACGAGAAAATTCAATTAAAAGTGCTGCTTCAGAGAATACAAATTAACCATTTATTCTATGTTTAGAAATTTGAGCGTCTTGCTTGATTTTTTTTTTTAGTGTTATTTATTTTTTACATGTTTTTCAAATTGTACTTTTCATCAAAACCTCAAATATGGGGTATGATAGCAATAACGATTCTATTTAAAATCTCATGCTCACTTTGTCCACACAGATTTTATCAGAAGCACTGAGAAATTTATTTTTTGGCAGGGAAGCAAAATTAAATAAATATTTAGATTATTAAACATTAGATGACTAAATTTTACTGAACAATTACATGTATTCAGCTGCGATTAATTAATCCTTTGAAGTGATACTGAGGCATATGAAGCTTTTACACAGATGTATTCCTAATTCACCCAGGAAACATTATGAAGTTATCACCTGATATCACTTATTCATAGAGCTGGTGTATAGAAGTGAAGTCCTGAGCTACTGTGAAACCAATTATTTCCACTGACATTTAATTTCACTAATTTGATGCTTTGAGCATATGCACATGTTGACCTAAGTCGTGCTAGTAAGTAACATATGAAGGCCTACACATATTACTTCACATCAAAGACAGCATGTGTTACTATCCCATGATACTCACCAAACTGACCTGCAAAATCTGACCCTCCACCTCTGCCCCATCGATGACTCCACCCCATCACAGCCCACCCCTAATAATTCCTTTGATACTCACCAAAGTGAACTGCACCAGATAGTGCTGTTTCACTAGGGATAGAACGAAAGCACAGAAGCCAAGTACATATAGAGTGAAGGAAATGAACCGATGATAATCTGCAAGTGGCTGTAGAAATTCCTACAACAGAAAATATAATTTATACTAAGTCTAAATTTGAGAACACAGGGAAGGAAAATCTGAATGTCAAGATACATAAACAGTGTAAATTCATGCATAAATGTTATTATATGAGACAGTTTAAATATATGCAAATTCTATTCATTTGATTTTGTTGTCCAGAAACAACACAACACATAGTAATAGTCTCAACCTGATAAGATGGTAATTTCAAAACAATATGATTTATAGTTGCTAATGGGATAAAACCCACAACCTCACTCATATGACATGAACATGCTAGCCTATTGTACTATGCCCAGGTGTAAACCCATTGTACCCACCCAGATTTATACACTTGCACCCACCTAGGTGTACACCCTTGTATCATGCCCATGTGTAGATGTATACCTATTGCACCTACCCAGATGTATACCCATTGCACCCACCCTGATGTAGCGCCATAATGCCATGCCCAGAAGTAAACTCATTGTACCATCCTTATATCCACCAAGAAGTACACATTTTACTGTGCCCAAGTGTACATTCATTGTACCATGGCCAGATGTAAATCCAGTGCACCCACCCAGACGTACACTCATTGTACCAACCCAGATATATACTCTTGCACCCACCATGATGTACACCTTTGTACTATGCGCAGGTGTACATCCATTGTACTATGCGCAGGTGTATACCCACTGCACCCACCTAGATGCATACCCATTGTACCCACCCATATGTAAACCTGTTGTATCCACCCAGAAGTATACCCTTGTACTATGCCCAGGTATCCACCCATTGCACCCATCCAGATGTGTTCCCTTGTACCCAGCCAGATGTACATCCATTGTACTATGCTCAGGTGTATACCCACTGCACCCACCCAGATGCATACCCTTGCATCCAACAGATATACATCAATTGTACCATGCCCAGATGAATATCCATTGCATCATGCCAGTTTTAGAAAATACTTACCAAGTCTTTATGTACCAAAATTCCAAAGTAGTCCTTGGTACTTTCTCCATAGAAAAAGTAATTTGCACAAAGTAGGAAATACCAACTGAGCGTCCTAAACCATGGTAGATCCTGTGATTTGTACACTGCATACCCTATATTAATAATCTCACGGAAACAGGCCAGCTGTATCAACATGATCTAAGTTTAAATAAAAGAAAATATCATGAGAAATGACATCTGGCAACAAGTTTTTTTTTTAAACTATTACAATTTTGCAAGAGATACATGTATTCTTTTGTG